CTTAAAACCTGAAATTTTACTGACCGTGGGTTTTTGCCATTTGAATTTTCAAAATAGTGCATTATACTATTACTTTTTCAATTAGCGCATTTTGGGGGTGCTCTTCAGTTCTGCAGCTGAGATGAGAACTACATAGTCTTACCTTAGTCTCACTTCTGCAGGTGACTGCCTGTGTGAATGCAGAGATGTCTCTGGTCTGTCAGAATTGATAATGGCCAAAGGAATTTGTATACTATTAGTGTACATGTGTGGGCCACCAACACCACACAGCGTTACTGATTTCTAATGTAAAACTCAAAAGGAAATGAAAGTATCTCAGAAGGATTTACTTCTATGAATGAAAAATCCTACAGCCAGGAGCCTTGTGCTAAATGATCAATACTAGTTACTGAAGGGAGAAAGTGTTTGGCCTTTTTTATGGTGCAGAGAAGGGGGCTCATGGTTGAAGAAAATTTGCTTTAAAAATAGTGGAAGTAACTTTAACTCCTCCTCAAGGTTTGGACTTTCTATTTCAAAAAGGGGTATGACACGACCCTTCCCCATTACATATGTACACTGACTGTAGTGCAGTGTGTCAGTGGGAAACTATTGTCAAGAAGGTCAGAAGGCCTTGCTCCTGTGTAGCAGATGTGGGATTTTGATCCATTTCTTGGCTAAGCTGTTACTAGACATGCATGTCAGCAAATGCTTATATGTGAAAATGCACCTTACATCCTCTTCCGAGCACCTGCATCTCCAAGGAGGTGATCGGGCCGCTCATTTCTCATACAAGCACAAATAGGTGGGCTTTTTTTTTTTTTTTTTTTTTGCTCCTGTTTCATCTCCCTGTCTTCCCTCTGTTGTTTATTAAAACATGCAGTACAACAAGAAAAGGACAAGATTATCCTGCTTCCTGCTATGCAAGATGGTTGGGAGAAGGCCTAGGTTAAATGCAGCGTTTGGTTCCTTAAGCTCCTCTAATGCACAGGTGTGCCAAAACAATCTGCGATGAGAGCACATAGCAGCGACTCTCTGAGGATACAAACTTGAGTTTAATTTGTGCTCTCTGGCTAAGCTAAAACCTTCTTCTGCTATCATTATCCCACTTATGTTTGTCTTCCACTCTCTTTCCACTTTGCTATCCAGCTGAGTGGGAAGAAATTCACCTGACCTTGAAGAATACTCAGAAAATCTGAAAATAAGGTTTTCAGTAGCCACTAAAATCCCAGACTTCTACCAATGTTTGGATCGCATGTGCATGGGCTTGAAAGGATTCTTAGAAATGGTAGATGTGGAAAAATGACATCCAGAGAGTTACAATAACCTGTCAAAAGGCACGAGGGATGGATGAGAAAGCAACCATCAGCCTTCCAGTACAGCACAATGGGCTCCGGCCAGGCCCCGACAGACCCTTTAGGCTCATTAGGATATTGGCCAAAATGCTGTGATGTCTCCAGTGAATGTAGATCTTTGAAGGTCACCTCCAGGAAAAGCAGTCTGCAAGTACTGGACAGGAAGAGTCTTCCCATTCTTGCTCTCATAGGATCTCTGCCAGATTCGACTAATATCAAATTAAAAGTTTGAGTGTGTTTTTTTTTTTCTACCAGGAATAATTACATTAAATCCTCTCTATCTAAAAGGTTACTTCCATTTATTGTTTCAGCTCTTTGCCTATTCTGATGCAGATGAGTTACAGCAAATGAAGGCACATGGGCTGAAAACTGTCCCTGAATCCAAGGACTAACTTCAGCCCCAGATGTACTTTTCTGCATTTTGCATTTTTGCCGACACCTGACTGCCTGGCTCCTGAGGTCCTGTGTGAGTCCCTCTCCTGTTAGAACTTCTCTTCAGCCTCTGGGGACTGAAGGAAGTTGTGAGTGGGGTAGGCTTTGAGTCTCAATGGAGAATGAAAACAGTCATGCTGGGTTCAGCTTCTGTTTTCCACTCTAGACACCACCCTTCCCTGGCCTCAGATGATCAAAATGAATGAACAAAGTTCTTCTCTTACCCCAGCTTTTCTGCAGGGGTAACACTTTAGAGTCTTGTCTGACTTGAAACAACAATCTGCTTTTGTAAATGCAATCCATTTCATGGAATTGAGTGAAAAAGTGAAATCAAATTATACTGCAATTTTACAGAAAACCCTGACAGGAGCTATTTGGAGACTTTTTCTTTAGGTGTTGCTACCTGCCAGCATTACTCATTTTTTTCTCTATCTTGAAAAACGACCTCACCCAAATATATCTTCACAACCTACTTTCATTTAGAACTTTTTTTTTTTCTGAAGACATTACAGCATCTATACAACTTTAGAAATAATTGTTATCCTTCAAAATGTTTTTGAGTCAAATACAAAACAAATGGGCCTTCTGATGCACTGGCTTCCTGATAATCCGTGTTGCACAGTTCTCAGATGGATTTTAACAATGTAGAAAGATAAAGTCCACCTGAAAACAAAGAATCCTAAAAATGAAATTTCATCGTCACATACAAATTTAGTTGATCTCTACTCCCTGAATAATTTTCAGACAAATCACTTTATTCTAGCTCATAAAGATGATTACCTCTGAGAATTAAATGTCTGTGCAATGCCTTTAGAAAGGCTTTCTTTTTCTAAAGTTCAAAACTTCCATGATCTACAAACTCAAAAGCCCTGCAGTGAGGGTTGGTGGAAAAAAACTTAGATCATGAAATTCTCCTTTTCCTTTATACGTGCCTGAAGTGAGGGGAGGCTGCTTTTATTCTTGTTGACATAGACTTATTATTCAAGTTTAATTCTGTGTCTACTCAGAAATGCTTTAAAAGTTTCAGCAAGGTATCCCCTTTGTGGTCTCTCATTCAGGTCCACAGGTGCTATGGTAATATCTAGTCTGTACTTAAACATCATAAATATATTAAGTTTAGAAGCAAAATTTCCAACAAAAAATAATATTTTATCAGAGCTGTCAAGAAACAATGTGGCTTTGAGCATGCCTTTACTGAAAAATGAAACAAAACTAAACATCCAGTATTTCCACAGCAGTTGGGAGAAGGCTTAGAAGTCCTCAGGTGTTGTCAGTGTTCTGTGAACACTGGCTCCAAGCTGGCTCTTACTAAATGGGAAACAAATCTGGATTAACCAACAACTTGGGCAGATGCAGGTCATGCTACCTCTCAAGTCAGGATGACGTTTCTTTGGTAATTTAATCTATTTTGGTGTACCCTGAGAGCAGGGCAGAAATGTTTAATCACATGTTGTCAAGGCTTGGACCTGAACCATCTCTCAAAAATTCCTGTTTGAAGTTTACTCCCTTGGGGGTATTTGGGGAAGCTAGATGGGGTGTGGCTGGCAGAAATCCATCCCTGGGGATAAGGCTTTTAAAGTCAGTCCCTGACTGGTTTCTGCTTTGGTCTCTGTTTCTTGGTTACAATTGTGAACAGGCGCTGCCACACACTGCTGCTACAGACTGAGCTGTTCCCCATGCCCTCTCTGATATGATGGACTGCAACTCACCAAAACTGTGAGTCAAATTAAAACAAGTTGTTTCTGTCCTGCAGTGTGTGCTTCTAGAGTTTAAAAGTCACCTATTCACTTGGTATCTAGGTCCGTCTACTTTAACTGTACTTCAAAAGTATTACACTCTGTCTCTGGGAGGACAGAGATGCATTTTGGATGCTAACATCACTGAGGCTGCTTGAGCAGTACAGTTGTGCATTTGATTATATCTACTCTCCCATCAGATGTCAGTATCTTGTCAAAATTGTTAGGTTGTCTAGCCCTTGTAAGATTTGTGAAAAAATAAGTCTTAGCTCTAACTTAGGAATGTGCTCAAAGTGAAAGTAACCTTTAACCACTTGTCCAGTCACAATCATACTTCAATCAAATGTTTGTATTTCTAGGTAAACTTTGGGCCACTCCAAGAAAGTAAGTTCAAAGAGACAAAGCAATGGGACATCAAGTAAAGTCAATAATGAACTGCTAAATTCCTAATCTACCTGCCTTTAGTCTGTGTGGTTATCTATTTGATCTTGTTTGTTCTCCTGTTTAACAGCCATAAGTGCCATTACTAGTATCACCCTTGGGTTGGGGAAGATGGATCAAGGCTCTTCTAAGAAAGGTTGGTGGGCTAATTGGCATTGAAGTGAATGGATGAACTGTTCATTTGGTTGTCATCATACTTAGGAATACCTTGACCTTTTGGAATCAAATGGAGGAATATGTCTCATGTAAGCTGAAAAACAGGTAGCCTATGCCTCCTGCACTGGCATCCCAGTCACTCTGTTTTGTAGCTAATTGGTCTGAAGTTAAAGTTACATAGCCCTGAATGTTCCTTTTCCTTCCTCTTCAGTGATAGTGGGTTAAAGATAAGCTTTCATGATTAACATGAAGTCTCTATTTATTCTTCAGTCTCACATTAATAAAGTAAATACACAACTGCTTTAATTTATATCAAAATGCACATTTGCTGAGATTCTGGACATAAATTTAAAGTACTTGTTAGTCTGTGGAGTAATGGTTGGAATCTGGGACTTAAGACTGGGGCTAAATTTCTTTGCCCTCCTAACCCCAGAGAGTATTTATAAAAATAAAAACAAAAGAGAAGAAAGTACTGAAGGTAAGACACTGTTGTATTCATAATACAGAGAAATAACCACCAGGCCTCGTGGACAGGAGATGCAGTTCTCCACGGGGCTACAAAACTGTGCTAGTAATAATTTTAATTGGATGCTATCTTTGCAGCCTTCAAAAAGTATCATAAAATGGAGTTATTACAGGCTACAAGTGCACTTACAGTGCTGTCCTCTCACCGAAAGAAAGACATAACATTTATCCTTCGGAGGGCAGCATCAATGGACTTCTATTTGTTTCGTTTACATGCATCCCCAGCTGCCTGCCATTTGCTTCCTCTTCCCTAAGTCTAAGAGATCAATTTGAATTGGATGCTGCAAAATGTGGTGCTATGTCTTGCTGGCCTTCTGCCTTTGGGGACTGTACAACACCGGGGGAAAGTCCATACTCTTGAGGAGAATGAAAAGCATACCTGTAGAGGGTTGGGCGGCGTGAGCGGTGATGGAAGGCTATGTCCTGGAGATGGGCTGGGTTTCTGAGGGGGACTTGAGCTCGGTTGGCTTGGAGATGACTGATTCTGGCTCTGGGGGTGGGAGTGGGGTTGATGTTGTTGAGACTGAGTAGCCTGCTGGAGCTGAGCTGAGGGAGCCGGTGGCTGCTGTGAGGCAGGTAGTGGCTGGTGGGGCGGGGTGGGCTGGGACTGTTGCTGCTGAGACTGTGAGGGTGCCTGTGAGGCTGGCTGTGGGTGCTGACTGGTTGGAGTAGGCAGTTGTTGCTGTTGTTGCTGCTGCTGCTGGAGCTGGAGCTGCTGGAGCTGTTGCAGTTGGGAGTTCAGGGATGAGGTAGCTGCAGGGAAAACAGGAAGGATGGTGTGAAACAAACAGGACAGATAGGATGTGTCTTGATGGTTTTTCCTGTGCATAATGACAAAGGCCCCTTTACAAAAGGTTATCCTCCCTCCTTGAAGCTCCTTGGCATGACCAAGGATTGAGGGACTCTAGATGAAACGAAATAATTTCTTGTGAAAATTTTTGCAATTCAGAGAAGAATGTACCACAGCAGATATTCTTAAAGCTCCCAGCATTGCTTTAAAAGCACTGTATTAGAGAGGTGTGCCAGGATGGAGACTGTTTTTAAGCACTTTCTCTCTCTTTCCCTTCTTTTCCACCTGCAAAATACAGTCACTTTCAAGATTTGATTGAGATTTTCAAAGTTCAACCCATTTAATTCTTTTGGTAAATGCTTGACTGGAGTTAAGAACAGTACACTAAATTGTTAGCAATCTCCTTTCCACCCATCATCAACACCATTAGTGGCATCATTTTCACTTGCTACTTCAGACCTCCACCAATTTTCTCAGACATCCAGGTTTCAACACCTGTTCTGCTTTAAAGAAAGTACAGACTTCTCAGTTTTTCAGAGTAAAAAGAACCCTAGATGGTTTAATTACTTTTTTGCTTCTTGGTCAGACAAAGCTCTTAAATGGGAAGGGATTCCAGTTGTTGGCTGTGAATTGATTAGACACATTAGCATCTCAAAGAGCTAAGAGAATAAATGAATGTTTTAAGGTTTTCTTGAGGTGTGTGTGTGTGTGTGTGTGTGTGTGTGTGTGTAAAGCTATCTCTGTACCAAACCAGCCTCTCCAATGCCCATCAGGAAAAGGACAATGTTAGTCTTTAGATCTAGAAATATATGTAATATGAAGTGCCATATGATGTGCTACCTTCATACAACAGATACACCTAAAAATGCATGTATGTTGGGCCATATTTTGAGCGTACTCAACAAGGAAGGTAACTAATGGCTACTTTTGTAGAGAATCATTTTATGAGAGACATTAAATGCCACCGAGATTCTGGTAGGATGCCAAACAAGATACAGGATTTAAGGAGGCAGAGTCCCACCTTCTAGAAGCTTACAATGACTTTGAGGAAATAATATTAATTCATACAAAATATAATTTGGAGGTTATTACTATATAATTCTGGTAGAAGTAGCTAGATTCATATTTGTTGATTGAATGATGCATGGTGTAAACCTGACAGATCAGAAGAGTTCTGTGGCCTGAGGGGCGAGAGCCCGACCATGGTGAATGTAGGCCCACACAAAGGTTTGGGAGAAGGATGTGAAGAAAGGAAATCTCTAGCTGGAGAAATACCCAGAGTCCACATGCCTTGAATGACATTTCTGAGGGAAATTTTGAGACTGACTGCCTGAAACAAAGAGTCTAGGAAGTTCTGAGTCACCTATACTTCATAGATATGGTGGGGGTTGAGTCCTACCAATCAGCCATGTCATAAGTTAGGTTTCAGATAATAATCCAGCTTTACTCAAGGAAGGTTCAGCACCTCTTGTGAGTTAGCAGTATTCTCTGGGTCACCAAATGCCAGTTCTCTGATCTCAAGTATCACTAAGAAAGCTATAATGGTCAGTTTACCAAAACTCATGACTGGGTCATTGCAGCACTCCAGGTCTCTTCAAATAGTCTAACATGAGTCCTATCTTGCAAGAACACCCTGGGGCTTATATGTGACTCTAAAGGTCTAGGGGACTGATAAATGACCCTTTCATGATCCTCATTATGAAAACTTTAAGAGTAAGGCCTATTTTGTTATCATCTCTCACTCTTCTCATCACACAAAATCACGTTTGATTGAAAACCAATGATGCCAATTCAATTCTAACACTCAATATCACTTACATTCTGGGATTCCTAGAAGAGTGGGGTTTGACATTTTTATGGTGTGGTTATGGAAAGTAGAACCTAATTGTACCTCACTGTCTGCCTAATTCTAACCAAGTCTGTCTAGGTTTCTTCCAAATGGGGCACATACATCAGTGCTCATTTTCATGGTCACATTCAATACCACAAGTTTTCATTTGGATTAGAAAAGCATTTATCTAAATCAGCATTAGGAACTGGAAAGATTTCAGAATATTGGCAGATAGGTATTGGCAGACAAGTGCAACAGACCCAAACCTACTAATGAGACAGGGTCCCAGATGTGTCTTCAACACTTTGTGTTTGTGAGCTCACATTACTCAGATATTTCCTCTAATAGCAGCTTGACTAGAAAGGCACAAACCTAAGCAAAACCCCATTGCATTCTGTAAATGCAAGTGAAGCAAAACAGTGATGGAAAATCAGATGTGGTCATGTATATGGTGGGTACAAAGGAAGTAGGAAGGAATATGCAGGAGTGTAACCTTGGTATAAAAAATGTCAAAATGAAAAGATGTGGATTCCTTCCAGACTAATGTGGTTTGATCAAGCCAGACCACCTGAAACAGAGTACCAGGTGATCCTACATTCAAAACAGCTGGACAAAGCAGCCTGACAGACTACAGCCAGGATTTCTGAATTTTCTTCGAATCCCCCATGACAGCGCCCCTTACCAGCAGGAAGTAGTTTGGAAAGAACGACGCCCAAATTCCCAAATATTGTCTATAAATGTTTGTTTTCATTTAAATGGACTTGGTTATATAAAATAAAAAAAATAGTCTTTCAAAAAAATGTCAAAACTATCTACCCAATGATTTGACATATATATTACATAGCATGATTAAATATGGGCATGGGAAATAACAAAAAATAAGTAAACTGAAAAAGTTTAAGGACATAGCTGAACTATGAAATGATGGTTGCAGAAAAAAATGGTGCACTGGGGGATCAAACTGACCCCAGACATGTAATAGCCAAGGTTTTACTTTCTTTTGGCATTTATTGCCTCTATCTGGTTACAATACACTGGAAAGGACCAATATTAAATATGAAATTTAGGCTATGAAAGAGATGTGTACAAAAATACACCTTGAAAAATTTAATGTTTAAGATTGTGAAAAGAAGAAGGAAAACAAAATTCTCTCAAACTCACAACTTCCTAAAGAGAAGAGAGGGCCGTGGTAAAGTGGCTTGAAAATTTCCAAATAAATAATTTAATGAGACCAAGGAGTAACCAAGAATCCTGCATTTTACCATTTGTTCAGTTCCTATATTTCAACTACATATTAAAAACAATTTCTCATTTTGAATGTTTAAGGTTTCCATAGTGAATCCTACAGTTACATAGGCACACAGCCTGGGTGAACAGCAGCACTGCACAGGATGAGAATTATGTATGATCACTTCCAAAGGCCAGACTAGAAAGAGAAAGAGTAGACAGCTCCAATTTCCAGGACTTCTGTGGGTACCCAAATTCACAGGTGCTCACATCTTCTATTTAGAATGGCCATATATAACTTATATATGTCCTCCCATGCTTTAAAGGGCCTCTACTACTTACAATAGCATTGTATAATAACAGTGGTGTTAATTGTTACACTGTTTTGCCTAGAAAATCAAAACAATAGAGAAGCCAATCACATTTATTACAGATGGAGCTAAAAGCACTTTTGATTCATAGTTTATTGAATCTTTGATTTCAGGACTCTGGCTAATTGTACCTGCAGTTCAAAGAGTCCATGAGATCCCGAGAAATGGAAACATGCCTGTCTGCTGAATGCCACCCTCATTTAACCTATGTGGTACTGCCTTGCCTTAAACCAAGCCTTCAATTGTCCCCCTTTTAGTTTCTTTGTTTCCCAAGGTCCTTTGAGTGAAGTACATACAATTAAAGAGTCAGAGATAGGGTCTGCATACTAGAGAAAACATGCTGACTTTCTCTTTCTGGGTGGGTTTACTTAGATCAACATATTTATATTTCTAGTTCTATTTATTTTTCTGCAAATTTCATTTTTCTTTATAGATGAATAGAATGCCATTATGTATTTGTACATTTTCATTATTTGCTTGTCAGTTTATAGAAATCTGAGTTGATTCCATTGTCTGTTGTGAATAGGGCTGCAATGAACATGGAAGCAATAGTGTCTGTATAGGTATAGTGTATGGTACAGATTCTTTAGGGTGCATGCCCATGAGTGGCATACCCTAAGATGTATAATACTTCTACTTCTAACTTGTAGAGGAGCCTTCAGACTGATTCCCAAAGTGATTTTGCAAGTTTACCCTTCCACTATCAGTGCCAGATTCATTGTCATTTGATTTTTTTTTTTTTAATGAAAGCCATTCTGACTAGGGTGAGATAGAATCTCAGAGTAGTTTTAATGTGTATTTCAAGAATACTGACTACTAGAATTCCAGAAAGCAATTTATGCGAAGGTGTGCTAATTAAGTTTTGTTTTCTTGACACAAACTAGAGTCACCAGAGAACCTCAATTGAGGAATTGCCTACATCAGATTGGCCTATGGCATGCATGTGGGAACATTATCTTTATTAGTAATTACCATGGAAGATCCCAGTTTACTGCAGGAAGGACCTTTTCTTGGCAGGTGGTTTTTGGGTGGTATAAGAAAACAAGCCGAGTAAGCCATGAAGAGCAAGCAAATGAGCAGCATTCTTGTGTGGTTGGCTTTCTTCCATTGTGGAATGTGATCCATAAATATAAGCTAAAATAAACCCTTTTCTTCCCAAAGTTGCTTTTGGTCATGGTGTTTATCACAGCTATAGAAATGAAATGAATACAAACAGTAAACTGAAGCACAAGGAATTTTCAGATAAATGAGGGAAAGATCTAGACCATAGTGAACGTCATCTCCACCCTTGCAATAAACCCAACTGAGGCAAATTGAAAAGAAAAAGGCAGATTTGTCTAGGGATTAGTTGCTCCAGACAAGGTTCATGAAGTCTTGTGGCTGGACTGGGTCAGGGGCTTTTTGTATATGAGTGGTGGGAGGCAGTAACATGCTTGAAAAGGTATTGGAGTATTGCCCAGGTTAGGGGTCTGGTAGGTATGTTCTGAGTCCAGTGGTTACTTTGGAATCTGGAACTAAGTGTCCAATGTTTCGAGTGGGCTTTTGTAAGCATGGGGTTTTGGCTGGAATCACTTTGTCTGGTTCTTGGACTTCTACAAGTACCAGCTTCTGGCTGGAAGTTGGGGATGTGGAGGTCATGGATATTTTTATAATGATAATTCCAGCCTAACACATAGAGGTGTCATTTAGAGAGGTACCATAATATGTCAAGTAATTGTCAAGTAATCAGTGGTTGTCTTTGATAAAACATCAAGTTACATACTTGGTTATTGAGATGACTTTAGAGAGCACAATCTAAGCCATCCTGGTAGTTTCAGGCATGATTTTGTGTTCAGAGTGAGTGTTCTAGGTCAGCCACTCCTCTTCCAAGGCTATCTTCTAAAGGCAGAGGATTGATATTTCCTATAAGCTGTCACACTGTGACAGTGTGAACTGCTTGTAATGGACATGTTGATATTAACAGACATGGAATTAACTAGTTAGTTTTGGTGTTCTGGAATGCCCAGGATGAGTTGTATTATAGAAGAGGAAAAATCCCAGGTGTGTCAAACATTTTGATATTGGGAAACAATGTTATCATCTACAAAGTTTTAGAATCGCTCACCCAGTTATAGAAAAAGGAGAAGAAAGAGGAGAAGGAGGAGAGTAAGAAAAGAAGCAATCACACACAGAAAAGTGATGTTATGACTTTGTGTTCTTAGGTACCCTGAACTGCAGATTAGATACACCCTCTATGATGGTGAGTTGAAGCCATCAGGTAACAACTTCCCTGCTCCCTGCTCCCACACAGCTTTCCAGCTGTTTCAGGACACAGCACAGAACCTTAGGACAGGACTATGAGAGCCTCATAGAACCAAGATACTCAAGTGAACAGAATCTGAATATGGAGAACAGCATGTCCTCAATCAGAAACGAAGGGTTCTGTCAACTGTTGCGGAGTGGACCAGAGAAATGAAAGGAAGTGAACAACACAGTTTGGAAAGTTAATATTGTCAGTTTAGCAGGACCTAGGACAAACCCTTCAGAATTCAGAACACCCCCTAGAGGATTAACTCCATTAGATTAGCGGGTGGGCATGCCTCTGAGAGATCTTCTTGGTTACATTACTGAATTTTCTTATACCCATCCTGAATGTGGCCTCATAGGGAGATCCCAGGGAGGAAGATTTTTGCCTGGTTGTCTTTGAGGCTTAATGGTGAGTTATCTACCTGGTTTCCAAGTTTATCCATACTTCTGTTGCTGCTGCCACTGCCACCACCACCATCCTTTGTTGACATCAGAGCCCCGCTCCTTTAGCCGTCCAACACAGACTGAAGACCAGAGGCTATCCAGTAATTTTCCAGGCCATCAGCACACACTGGGGCTCTGGAGCCTTGTAGATGATTAGCTACTGTCTCTCAGGGCAAAGGCAGTACTGTTGAATTACTCAGACTAAAGAATCCATTTAAAAATACAAATTCATCCTATGGGTTCTGCACCTCTAGAGAACCCCAACAAAACACAAGCTATTCACAAGTTCTGTCTGGTTCCATGTACCTGTTGCAGACTATTCCTCTGAGTTCTGATGATAATCTACCAGCTTTCTGTCTCCCCTTATCTCTCCCAGCTTAAATTCCTTGGCTACTGGTAGAGGGGGAGACAGATTTGAGTTTCAATACCAAATCTCTCTCTCTCAAACAAATAGACAAAAACAAACAAACAAACAAATGCCCTTGTGCTACAGTTGGATACCCTAACCCTAGTCCTAACCCTAACCCTAGCCCTAACCCTAACCCTAACCCTAACCCTAACTACCTGCTGGACAGCAATCTCTTGCTTGTTAACAGTTCCTCCTCTCTGTTAAGAACAGTGCTGGAATCAGAGGCTGTGGAGGGGCATTACTCAGCCCTCTGTGTATTGTTAGAGGACTTCAGGGCAGGAATCCTGCTAGGGTAAACTACCAGGTAACTTATTATTTCTCTATCTTTTCATCATTACATGCATTCACTTGCTCAACAAATATTTACTGAGTCCTTACTATGTGCTGGTTATTGTTTAATGGAGGAGACAGTGCCAAGCAAGACCAGCCACGTCCTGTTCTCAGGGGACAAGCAGTCTTACAGGTTTGTGCAGAAGTGACAGTGACATTATTTAGTGGCTGGAACTGCACACGTGCACTGATAGCACAAATGGCAGCCATCGTGCTGTGCTAATATATGTAATGGATTATTGGCTTATGATCTGAGAAATGTATTTATTTGTCTATTAAATTACTTTTCCATTAAAAAGAAAGAAATGTACACACAGAGAGAGAAAGCACTCAAATGGAGGCAAAGAACCTAAACTGAGGAGGAAGGAAGCACTTCTTAAAAGTGGCCAAGTATTCCACCAAGAACATGGCAGGCAATGATTCTCCAAACCTATCCTTACCCCAGCTTCCTGAAGGGGGAGAAATAGTCAAGAGACAAGGAACAAGTGTATGAGTACACTAATAGGAAATGGGCAGGAGGGATAAATACATACAGAGAGGAAGCAGAGGGGTGGGCACTGGGGGCTGGAGTGGGAGGAATGGAGAGCAACTGCTAATGGCTATAGAGTTTCTGTTGGAGATGGTGAAAAATTCTAGATCCATATAATGGTAAAGGTGTTTAATATTGCTGAGTGATATGAATGAATAGCTTAACATGAATAAAATGGCTAGTTTTATAGACTTTGCTGTAATTAGAAGAGGATGCCTTTAGCTCTGTATTCACACACTGAGGTCCAACTAACACTGCCAGCCTCCTCATTGCCTCTCATGGCTTTGTGGTCTGGAGGTGTCAGTATTGTCACCAGGCATGGGCTGAGCTCAGGAGTATTTGCTTTTTGATTGCTTGACCTTATGTCTTACTGTCAAATTTCTTTACTCTGTCCCTGGAGATCACTAAGAGGTCACCTGCTTAGGGAGTAACACACTGCACCCACTGGAGAGACATAGGCTCTGCCTGGCTAGGAGGTATTTCAGTGTAGTGTTCTGGTTAGTTTTAGTCAACCTGACTTGTTTAGAGTTATCTATGAAGAAGAACCTCAATTGAGACAAATGCCTCCATCAGACTGCCTATAGGCATGTCTGTGAGGGCATTTTCTTGTTTAGTGATGGGGGGGAAATCTCACCCACTAGAGTAGTAATCCTGGGGTGCATAAGAAAGCAGACTGAGCAAGGCATGAGGAACAAGCCAGTAAATAGCATTACTCCATGGCCTTTGCTTCAGTTCTTGCTAGGTTCCTGCCTTGAATTCCTATCCTGACTTCCCTTCATGATAACTCCCTTCCTCCCCAAGTGCTTTTAGCCACCCTTTTTCACAAAAATAGAAAACTAAGACACGGTTCCTTTGAATGTTTCTGGTTTGAAGATGTATGTGAGTGGGATGGAGTAAAGAAACTGTCAACATGACTACTCCATGGTATGGGAAGCTTTAGTTGTAGATATGAGACAGAGAACATTCAGAGGCAAGTGGAAGAGTCCAGAGTGAAGAGAGAAAGAAGTAGACTAAACATAGCCAGCAGAGTGGATATGGCCACGGCTATCTGTGAGAGGATGGAGGATAGCTGGGGATGGAGATAGAGAGAGCAGAGTGAGAATAGCCAGGTTATAAGAGAGATGAGTGGCTTGGGAAGGGAAGCCTGTGAGCTGGAGGGAGTTTAGGGTAGAGAAAGAAGAGAGAAGAGCTAGGATGCTAGTGTGGACTTTGAAACATTCTCCTGAGTAGAGTCTGAGGGAGCCTAGTGCCTAGCATGGACGTTGATATGCTGAAAAGCATTACACATATATGTTAATTGGAGAGCTATGTCTTTTTTGCCAGAGGTAAGGGTAATGTTTCCTTTTGGCAGACAGGAACTGGCTTCACAAAATCCTGAAGAATGCTGACCTTTATTGAACTGCTGGAAGTCCTCCTATAGAACAGGCTGAGCTGAGCCTATACTCAATTTTGAGTTAGTGAGCCTGCCATCTGGGGGAAGGTATCCTTTGGATCTGACAACAGGGTCATTTCTAAGTCATGTAACTTACCACAACAGTGGCTTTTAGAAATTCTGTGAGGTCCTAGATGCTGTGCACACAGGTGGAAAACAGTGTGGGCTAAAAGGTATTAGTGTGCTGTCACTGACTATCATAAAGTAGCTTTCAAGACAACGGAATGGGGAAAGGCTAGCAATGCTATGCTGCACTGTACAGTGTAGGTTCAGAATGGTTTCATAACTTTCCCAAGCATACACCACTTGCCAGTGCTCCACATGACTCATAATAGGTTGTCACCTTTCCAAAGCCTGTGAACACAGTGAAATTGCATTATAGATGGGGCAAGCTATTCCCCAGTAAGGGCTTTCATAAATGCAACCACTCATTTATAGATAAATGCCCTCCATGGCCATGTTCTTGAGGTGAGGTATAAGAGGCTATGCCCAGCATTAATACATGGGGAGGTGCTTAGTTGCTTAGTCTGACCCACACTTGATGTTTTGTTGATACTTAGGGGAGACTTGACATTTCCTAAGCGGAAATGGAGGAGGAGTGGATTGGGGGATGGAAACAGAGGAGGATGTGATGGGGGTGGGGGATTGGACTGGGAGGAGAGGAGAGAGGGGAAACTGCAGCCAGGATATAAAACAAACAAACAAACAAACAAACAAGTAAATAAATTTATTTAAAGAAAGAATATTTGTTTCTTGAGGTAGTTTATTCACATATAATATTGGTCCTGCTATAGGCAAGCCATCTTTTAAAAGTGGCTGATGGGAAATTAAGTTTTTATTATGAGAATAAGGGTCTAATTTAAGTATGAACCTTGAGTTTTATAAAGAGCAGAGTTGACAGGAAGGGGCAGCTAAGGGGGGCCAGTGGAGGAGAGGGAAAAGGGCCTCAGTGTACTCATCTTGATGGCACAAGATCTCTAGGAGAAGGGAAGGTAGGACCTAGTGTGACTTAATAGAAAGAATTTGATTTAGTGACATCTATTCACATACACCTTAGGCAATACAATCAAATGAAGGCAAACCATAATGCAAGGAAGCCATTTCTGGTGCCCTCACTGAGGACAAGTCCAACCTGTATTAATAGAAAAAAATTTTTCAAATTAGATAGAAAAATACAGATGATTGGGGACTGAATTTTGAAAATTCAGAGAAGGTGAAGACTTGCTGGGAAATCTGCTTTATTCTTGGCTACCAGAAAGAAGAAAAATCAAGCTGCCTTAGAGATGATGGATGGGTGCCTGCCCATATCCATCTGGGGTTAATTCCAAAATATGGCTGCATAGGCCCTTACCTAGTGGGAGATGTCATTCTGTAAATATGTTTCTCTTATTGGTTAATGAATAAAGTCCTGTTGGACAATAGGAAAGCAAGATAGGTGGGACTAGGAGACAAGGAGGACTCGGGAAGAGTAGGGAGAGATCAAGATGTAGGACCAACAGAGTAGTATGCTGGGCTCTCTCTCTGGTAATATAAGACCACGTGGAAATAATTAGATTAATAGAAATGGGTTAATATTTAAGACAGAGCTAGCCGATAAGAAACACTAGTAACAGGCTAACAGCATTGTATCTAATATAGTATTTGGGGCTGGCACGGCTGTGGGACCAGACCAGCAGGAAAACATACTCCTAACACTTACTTTTTATTCTTCTTTACATTTAAGGCAGATATCTACATATTACTTGAGTTATATAGGGTAAACAGAAAAATTCTTCCCTGAAAACATCTATGCAAGTTTCACTTGTCTGGACCAGCCAATCCTGTTTCATTTGATAGTTTCCACCATCTCCAGCAACCCTGAACCAGAATTACCAGGGGAGCTTGTTAGGAAGGACATTCCAGGGTGGCACAAAATCTGCATAGTAAAGAATATTCCCAGGGGGCCAGGAGACATTGCCTCTGGAACCCCTAGAAGCTTAGTGAAGTGTGTAGGGCCTGCTCTTTCCTTGACCTTCAGCTGGGCCTTTTCCTTATCCATCACCCTAGGATCTTTAAGAATATTTCATTCATACAACTTTCTCTGAAGGAAAAGAAATGTGAAGAGAAGAAAGCAGACTCCTGGAAATTGGGCTTTCTCTATTGCTTTTTTAAACAACAAAAAACCAAAAATTGTATGTCAATTCACTAATCTCTCCTGCCTTTACTGAGATTTTGGGGCACATGCTTGTTGGAGTACGTTTAACAAGTATGAACTATGAGACATGTCAGATTCACCCCTAAGTAGGGAAGGTGACAGGGGACCTCTGGATAGAGCAGGTGAGCTCTAGATAAAGCAGAAATAAGGAACAGCACTTGCCTAGTGGTGTAAGAGAAGCTAAGGGTACAGGTGCAACCAGGGCCCATTGAACTCAGACGTGGTTGTTGAGATCTTCTTATAGAAGAACCGTGTCTGACAGAATGAATCAAAGCTAGGCCTAAAATATCAGAGAAATAATGGAAAGACTCTCCTCTAAAGAAAGTGTAAAAGCTTTCTGGAAAAGAATCAAGATTTTTAATGTGTATGTGAGCACCCCAAAGTGAAATTATTTTCTCTCACTTACCTAAACAAGTCTGTCAATATCACTGCAATATGGAACTCTTTCCTACTCCCCCACTCTCTCCAGTCCTTGGGATTTCTACTTACATCCTCACTGAGTGCCAACCAATATTTAAAAAAAAAAAAAAAAAAACAAGACCTACCCTGCATAATTTCCTCATGGAATTAAAGAACACTGAAGAGAAATAGATTTTAAAATCTGAAAGGACTTTTGCAAAGAAAAATGGCCATCTACCAAGAGATAGAAATTTCTGGCATCATTATCATGTGGCTGCCTGTCATTAATGAAACTCTGTGGGTAAAATCTGAGGAGTAATGCCTTCAAAGTTCTGAGGGAACTCAAATTTCATGAAGAATTCTATTGCCAAACTGGCAAAAATCAATTGCAAACTGAGGCTCACTTGGGAACTGAAACTTATCTTTAAGTGATGAATTTTGCCCAACACAAACTAAGTGCAAATCTAATGAGAATGTTGTTTTCCCCTGCTAAGCCTCCATGGATTCCGTCACACATCTGGCTTAGCCACTGTGGCATCAGTGGTCAGTTCTTAGAGTCCTCAAATGTTATAAATACCTTTGATTGACAAAACATAGCTTATAAAGAAGTAAATGATTATGCATTTCTTAACAAATCAGCTTCCTTGAAGGCAAAG